CAACAAACAGGATGACACGCCTCGATGATACATCGGGTTTCCAATGCAACTGATACGGTGAGATGTTTAAAGAAACGCCATGCCAAGCACGGAATGAACAAATCCACTAGCGCAAGTGCAAGCGCTTTTTCTATGGGTCCTTGCGCAGCTCAGTAGACTCAAGGCCTAATGCCCATGGAGCCAAAGCATCGGATAGGAATGCATAGGCATCAGTCAAGTATGTCTCAAATGTTATGTGAGATGTCAGCCCCTGATATTCTTTGTGGGACATACTTTGACTTCTGCCGATGCTCTCCTTGTCTACCCTCGGATAGGGTCTTCTCTTCGTCCTGGATTCTAAATGTGCTCGTTTTGAGCAGCTGCATCATAGGGACTTCGTGGGCGCCATTCAACTTGGTAAGCATGTCAGAGGGATTCTTGTTGTGAGGCACCCATCTGACACGTCCTTGACATCTGGTCAATGAGTCTTGGATGATGGCGATCTCCAAGGCTGACCTGTCGTCTTCACCAGTTGCCTGTTCAGTTGCAGAGGCGTCGAAAACAGATTTTGCATCCACGATGGCCAAACTCAATGGATCGCTGTGCAAAGGATCGTCGCTTGCAACTACAGTAGGTTCACCACGTAGGCCCAAATCATCTTTGTCCTCATGCTGCTTTCGCACATCATACCTTGAAAGACGAATGCTATCCCAGAAGGCTATCTGCTTTTCTAAGGCTCCCAAAGCGGTTGATAGGGAGATTGATTCGCACAACATTGTGCTTCCAGCCTTTCGGCGTAGGCGCCGAGATCTCCAGGAAATAAGGGACACCGGAGCTTCAAGGCCACGGCTCAAATCTCTGTTTGTCATTCCTTGAATCCAACCATGCTGCGGCTTGGTGCGACCCGATGGATCGAAGGCAGCATCTGAGATGACAAAGTGTCGGATCTCGGATTCAGGTATGCTGTGGATCTTGAGCTTGACCGAGTGGCTCTTGACGCGCTGCACCACCTTGTTGGTCTCAATCGCGTCCATCACAGTTGGCCCAGGAAAACATCCTGCAAGGATTGATGCGGCTGCTGCAGCATCTGGTCGGCCTTCCCTCGAGGACCAATTCAGGCTGGCTATGGTGCCTCGCAGTTGAGACTCCTCAGAGGGGTTCAAAGGCGTCTTTTTGGCGTCCTTGATCAGGATTTTCCTTTCCAGAGACACTGGTTTCAATCTTCCTTGCACATAGTCATCCATGCTGTAGACATAGGAAAAGTCAGCCATCTGCTGGATTCTTCGACCGGCATAGGCTGTCCCTGAAGGTTCATCTTGTAAAACAACTGCCTTTCCAAACCGTAGGCGATCTTCCAACCATTGCATTCGCTTGGCATGTTCTTCACCTCCGGCTTCAAGAACATCATCAATTTCAATGACCAGAATGCCCTGTGTCTCAGCTCCCTCGGCACGGCTTTCGCTGTCGAGTGTGAGGACACATCTGTCAAAGGGGCAAATCCGATAGGCAAGTTGTTGCGTGAGGATCTTCAGGAAAGACTTTCGCCACCATGATGGCCCACTTACAAGTCCATATACTTCTGTAAGAAGCATGATCAGCTGTTCTGGATCGCACTCAGGAAAACACCCATCTGGAGGCTGAGTGCAGCATAGTTTCTGCTTTCTTGTTGTTGGAAGTGATTGGAGAAATGCAGTCTTTGCGTCTTTGACCTTTCCCTTCCAACGTCGTGTTGCAGAAAGCTGAAAGAACATGTAAAGGCTTGTGGTCAGTGGAGTTGGAGCACTTCGTTCAATGCTATGGACCATTGGATCCATCCAGCCCACAACACACCAGCGAGACTTCGCCGAAACTCCATCATCATTCATCGGCTCATAGTCCGGTGCATCAAAGGCTTCTGGTAGCACGGAAAACTTGTCTCCATTTGGTTTCCAACGGTCAACATATCTTGAGGCTAAAACATGGTCTGGATGTTGACGTCGGAATTCACGGCTCTCCTCCACAGACAAAATCTTGATGGCTTTGTTGTCCAGCAAGGATTGAACTTCCTTCTTTCGTGCTTTTTCAAAAACAGCTCGATGTTCCGGCTTGAGGTGCCGAAACTCAACTTGGCCAGGAGAGGTCTTCACCTTGGTCAGGTAAATGCACTGGTCTGCATAGCTGTAGGAGCCCTCTGCCTCATCCACAGTGAACTGCTCATTGGAAATTGGCGATAAGCCGCCTTGGCCAGTTCGCTTGTCACTCCACCAAATCGCTCCATCTTTGCCCTTGGTCCAATTGGTGTGTCGGGACCGTAGGCCTTCAAAATCAACAACTTCTGAATACAGAGAGGTACTTGTAGTGTCCTCTGCAGTTTCTTGTGGTGCTGTTGAAGATGGTGTGGAAGGTGGTCTTGAAAAAGGATAAGGATAGGGTGCGACTCGTGCTGAGTCAGCCCTGGAGACCCGTCTGGATCTCAAGACTCCGCCAGCTCCTTCATCAACCATGATTGAAGATCTCCGGCTCTGAGTTGGCAAGCTATCTTCTACTGGTTCAAGTTGTGACACCTGGCGTGATGGCTCTGCCGTGCTGGCATCTCCAAGATCTGCATCGATCTCATCGATGACAATGGCATCCTCCCCATCTGGTGTTGCAATTGGTGTTGTTGGAGCCATGCTGATGTCATCGGGTTCATCCATGGTGTCATCTCGTAGTTGGTCATGTTCTGGGATTGCAGGTAGAGCGCTTGGATGAGCTCCATCGACCAACCTCTGTTGATCGGGAATGGCTTCCGTGGTGATCTCTAGCTGTTGATCTTGGTCAGGGGTTGGCTCGGCAGTCAAGTCATGAAAATGCCTCACCTTGCCGTCCTTGATGTCCTTCAACATTTCAGACGACAACTCCCGGATCAACTCAGCTCCAAGGTGTTCTTCCGAAGTGGCTGGTCGTAGATGTTCACGAGAGGCTTTCAGCAAATGGCCACGTAGAGAAATCCAAAGTGACCGCTCTGTCGGTGAAATCGCCAGTACCACTCCAGGACCAGACCACCCTGAAAAACCAGGGATGCTTCTCCAAACAAATGCCCAATCCCCCACCGACAGCTGCTTCATGTCAGCCTTTCGGGTCATGGCCTTTACAGACCGTCTCACTGCATCAACATCTTGTTGTCGAACCCAAGCAGTAGCTGCAGCATCACGTATCTCCCAGCTCTTCTGCATGTCTGATGAAGCTGAGGCCTGCAGCAAAGTTGGATTCATCAAATCATCCGAAACAAGACTTGCTGGAAGTCGAGGGTTCACTCCAAAAGCTCGTTGGTATGGTGAGAAGCCCGAACGGTGGAAAAAACGGTTTCGTGCTATCTGGGTTTCTCTGATGCAGAGGTCAAGGTCATGCTTGGTCATAGCTGATGTCTCTTCCAAAACCAAGTGCAACTTCTCCTTAAACAATCCACCAGCTTTCTCAGTTCGAGAGTTCTGCCATGGTGAGTGGGTGTCAGTGAAGTGCACCATGATGCCTTGTTCCATCAGCCGTTGCGAAAATTCTTCTCCAAAAAATTCTCGACCCTGATCTACAATCAAAACCATAGGGATTCCAAAAGGTGTAAGCCAGCAGCGAAGCAATGCTTGATGTGTGGCTTCCGCATTGACTTCCTCCAGCCTCTCCACAATTTGGAGTCCAGTTCCCCAGCACAAAACGTTCAACATAGGAAATTTCTGCTACATTTTACACTGTGTTGGATGAGTGTGTGAGGTCTCCAGAAATTTTGCCAGCTTCGCAAACGCGTCATTCGTGAGGAAACGCCAAATGTTGAAAAATCAAAACTGCAAATCACAAGTGGTGGCAGCAAACTGACATGTATGGAAAAACTGAAATCAATGCAGCACAAAATGAACATCTGACGGATTCAAATCAGCTTCACTCCCTTTTGCCAAGGTGGTTGCGTCTTGCGCCATTGAGCGGTCGTTTGAACACCTTCGTTAAGGCTGTGAATTCTGTTGCCTGCTCTGCAGGTATCGAAGGTGCCAAAGGTCTACAGAGACCATCCAACCAGTTCCACTATCCCTGAAAGGTTTTGTAACAACGTAACTCGCAGACATCTCAAAGCCCCGCTGTGCGCAAGCAGAAAATGCGGTGGGGGGGTTGGGACTTCAAATGAAATCTACCCCTTTTCCAAGCCAGTACTTCACGAAATTCAACAACATTGAAATGATTCCCATTGAATTGATTGACAGCACGGATAAAACTGAGGTGTCGAAATCAGCAAGACATCAACTGAAATCTGAAAGCACTCCAAAAGGATTCAATCACAGCATCTGAATTGTAAGCACAAGAAATCCCACAAGACCAGAAAACAACTTGCAAACTGTGAAGGCTGTCGCAACTCTGGATCAACGTAAAATCAAAAATGAACTTCTCCAAGAAAATGTGCAGCTGTGCCAAACCAAAATAAGTTGAATTGTTTCAAGACTGACATCCACGCAATCCAATGCTCACCAAGAGTGATCCCAAGACAGGAAAATGGCAAGAGCCACCAAACCACCAACGTACCCCACCACCACCCGGCCAACACAGTGTTCCATATAGACACATTGGGCAAGCCCAATGATGCCTACATTTTACACTGTGTTGGATGAGTGTGTGAGGTCTCCAGAAATTTTGCCAGCTTCGCAAACGCGTCATTCGTGAGGAAACGCCAAATGTTGAAAAATCAAAACTGCAAATCACAAGTGGTGGCAGCAAACTGACATGTATGGAAAAACTGAAATCAATGCAGCACAAAATGAACATCTGACGGATTCAAATCAGCTTCACTCCCTTTTGCCAAGGTGGTTGCGTCTTGCGCCATTGAGCGGTCGTTTGAACACCTTCGTTAAGGCTGTGAATTCTGTTGCCTGCTCTGCAGGTATCGAAGGTGCCAAAGGTCTACAGAGACCATCCAACCAGTTCCACTATCCCTGAAAGGTTTTGTAACAACGTAACTCGCAGACATCTCAAAGCCCCCTCTTCAGAAGATGTCAAGAAAGGAAGGTGTCACAAGAATGTGGTCACCAAGGGGACTTATCAAACTTCTTACTCTTGGAGGCCGGGTCACGCTCGCGCTCGACCTTCGCTGATTGCTTTGCAACTTCAAACTCATCATGTACCAAAACCAGTGCCTGCAAAATGGAAAGATCCATGCTCTGTAGAGAGACTTCAACTCTCAACTTCGGGTCGAAGTCATCGAACCGCTCGTTCGTCAAATCATCTGCTTCAGTGTTCTCTTCTCTCGGCCTCCATTGGAGATTCAGGCCAAGACGAGCTTTGGACAACATGGACGACATCTGCATGTTCAGGGCCATCAACGGCCATTTAGTTGTTGCCCTTTTCAAAGTCAAAGCCTCATTTGCACGATTGTCTGTGCCAGCATGGAAGGCCACTTGAAGAGACTTCCGGTGTTTGCTCTCACGCAACCAGTCAAATGCTGCCAGAGCCAACATCGTAGCCATCAACTCCGCAGAGGTGGATGCCCACTGGGACTCACCACTGCGTTTGAAAAGGTATGGGGCATCTCCTGGATAAACACGCAACGAGAACCATCTCCGGGTCTTGAGCTCCCAGCCAGCAAGAATGACCAACCCGTCACTGCATTTTGCGTCTGTCCTAAATTGATCCCCCACATGTTTAATGGGTCGCCTTGTGGAAACCATGAATGTCTCTGCCCGCAGCTCCAAAAGTATGTACCTCAACGTCACAATAATTGTTTCAGGGAGTCTGCCCACTGTGCTCCTGGCAATCACTGATGACCATGCAAACAATGGAGCCAAATGAGGTTTCAGCCAGGTGAGGAGTTGTGCAACAAAGCTCAGCCGCCCAAGGAACTCCACAAAATCTCTTGAAGCCACCACAAACTTTTGTTCTGCCAGTTTGCTGATCCAAGCAACCAGCCAGTCACCTCTCTTTGAAGAGATGCCCACCTCCGCAATGTCATAACGCATGCAGAAGCCGACAAACTCCGAAGAAAATCCACCCTTGAACTTATGATACCCAAATGGTGTGCCAACCAATTCATACGCCAGCACCCAAATCCATAGGGCCTTGAACTTCCCCTGGCCAACAAACGTCCCATGCAAATCATCAACGTAAATCATTTGCATCAACCACCTGTTATGGAACAAGTACCCGACAAATCTTCCAATCAATGCAGCAAGCTTCGCCCACCAATATGGTGCACTGGAAATTCCAAATGTTCCAACCTGATTCACCCAAACCACGTCTGAAGAAGAATCCGCACGGCAACACATGTAGCCCCAGTCAGAACGGCGAATCTTAACTAACCTGTGAGCCGCCTTGATATCTGCACTGACGCAGAAGCATGCTTCACCTGACTCCGAAGCTTCACGAACCATAGCTGCAATCTCAGGTGGCCCAGGGCACAGAATCTTGTCCTGATACCTGATCTCGTGGTTGACCTTCACTGAGTGTGTACCATCATGAAGAGGCCTGACTGATCCATCAGGTTTGCTGATAGCAGCCATCGAAGCTATCCTCAACCTGTCCTTGAACTCCTGCTTCAGCACCCCAATCTTCGAAGGGAACATCCTTCCAAGCTGCTCCTCCTCACGGAACTTCTTTTCCAATTCCCCTGAAGATAGTTGTGCTGATGGATAGTTGTCTGCCACCGGCGAAAACTCCGACTCATCCAATTTCCTATGTTTAGTCTTCTCGGGGAAGACCTGTGGTGACCGCGGCAACGGTTTTGTCCACCCCCAAGCATACGCCAGTTGAGAAGGACTCCTCCTCATCCACAAGCCATTTGGCGTCAGGATCATTGAACTTTTTCAACCATTGGGAAAGAGCCCGTAACATGAAAGGCTGACCATCATCAATAACCAACGCATCACGGGGATCCGGAAGTAATGCAGCAAACTTTGACCGCAGGGCTGCTAATGCCTCACCACCAAAAGGAGACTTCTCAATCTTCCCGGTGACCAGCCTGAATGATTCCTTCCTGACGTCGGAAATGCAAGCATCCACGCATTCTGATAAAATATTGAAAGTAGCATTTGCCAAATCCAGCATCTCTGGTGTGCGCCTTTCGCCCCTCTGGGAAGGCCGCCATCTCGTAGGGCTACAAAGCCCAAAGCCATCAATGAAACCCCTGTTCACTTGATCCCATTCAACTTGAATGGGCATGCCAGAATTGCAACATGAATGAACATCAAAGGAGTCCTCTGAGCTTTCAACAAGGGAGTCAATGTTCGGCTGCTCTGCCACATTTTTCCCGGCCGTAATTGCGTCAGTTGAAGCATCTTCCACTGTAGTTGAACCAGCAGGTGACTCACCCAAATGCCCAACAGCCAGTGTAACCGAGTTGTCCCCTTTAAGAGGGGGGTTTGCACTTGACCCTGCAGAACCCGAAGGTGACTCACCCAAACATCTCTGCAGTACAGAAAATTTTTCATTTGCTGCAATTGAAGTTGAAGTTGAAGCTGAACCAGTAGGTGACTCACCCACACGTTGCCTCTTCCCCGTTGTGTTCGCTGAAGGTGTCTGTAATGGCCTCTTGCAAGATAACCTGTCAGCGTGTTGGTCAGGAGTGCTCTTTTGATTCTCACCGCCCCCTCCGTAGGATGCAAATGCATTGAGAATCATATGAGCAATGAACTCGCACATGCCTGCTGGGTATGCTGCACTGGGACTGGTGTTCCATTTTGAACCAGTCTTTCCAATCAACCTATGTTTGTGCCTGTGCCCGCACTTCCTGGGCAAAGGTCCCTTGTAAAAACCAAGCTTGTCGAACTTCGGCAAAGCGCAAAAACAACGAGCATCAGAAACTGCCATGTTTGTCAACAGTCTTGTGGGTTTTGGTGTTAATGCACCGAAATGACATTGATGAATTGCAAAACATATCGCAGAAAATTTGGGAATGAGGTCCAACACCTCCTGCCACTGCCAGATCGATCCTGGCTGCTCGCCCTGCACAGTACCCAAGTCCTCTGGGTGTTCCAAAATGAAGAAACCATCTGAACCAGCTGCACACTCACATGCCTCAAGACATTTTTCAACGAAGAAATTTGCTTCGGCCACTAGCTCTTTGTTTGCATTTGACAGCCATGGAAAACCTTTGGGCCATGCTCTTGTCCGCAGTGGTTTTGGACCTGGGTGCAAAATATGTTGGAACCTGGCACGTGAAAATGTATTGCAAGGAGGTGAGACTATAACGCACCATCCACCCTCGTTTAGGGTATCAAAAATCTCGCTCCACAATGAAACATCTGTGAGATCATGCATCGGAGAACGTTCAATGTCAAATTCCTTCAGAATTAACTTGATCTTACCATTGGATTCAGCCTGCTTGAGAAAGGCCCCAACATCCGAATGGCGTCTCCGCCCAGCAAATAGGTAAAGAACCTTAACCACAGGAATTTCAGCAGAAGGTTGAACCTCGGGTGATGTCAACGGTGTGGACACGCTGGGTTGTGCCACACCTGTGGATTGTCAAGCGCCTTGTTTTTGCTTGTGCTCCACCGCCTTGTGGTCAGAGTAACAACCTTTGACCCTACACTGGTGAATCCTGCCACATGAACATCGCACTCTCCTGTGTTCCAGGCAAAGCAAAGACCCTCACACTGGTGAATCCTGCCACATGAACCATCGCACTCTCCTGTGTTCCAGGCAAAGCAAAGTTCTCTTCCATCCGGTGTCCTCCAAGCCAAAGTCAGTCCTTTAAGACGAGGGTCAGAAGGGCCCATGGATTTTGACTTCTGTTTCCCTTTGCCTTTTCCTTTCGAAAAACCAGGTGAGGACTTGCCCCCAAAACCTCCTTTGGAATTGAAACGCTGAAACTTGTTGGGGTGGCCATGACCATCTGAAACTGCAGATTTCAATGCAACAGGAGTGGTAAAATAGGCCTCCTTCAAATCGGCGTCCTTCGTCACCGAAACCATTGCCTCTGCCAACGTGTGGCCCTCCAAAACACGTTTCATAGCCTCCTTACGGAGCTTCTGTTCGTACGCCAGCACAATCGCCCAATCGGGCTTCACCTTCTGTTGGTTCCCTTCTCCAGTAGGGATTTGTATTCCAAACACCCTATCTCCCAAGATATATTCCACAAACCTGAGAAAAGGGTCAGCTGTAAGACCGTGAAGCCAATGTTTCGCCTTGTACCTTGAAGCCATTGCCAACCAGGAATACATTTCGACCTTCAAGATCTTTCTATATTCTTCAGTTGTTGAAGGCATCTTTGACTTCGTCTTGGTCCGGGTAATCCGGATGTGACCTGAGCCATCAACTGTAGATTGGATTGAGGAGCTCGAGGACGCAAGCTTGCTGAGAATCTCATCAAGCGGTGCAGCTGTCGGTTCGTTTGCCTCAGTTTCCTCAGCCTTCAGACTCAAGTAATCAGCTGCAGGGCATTCTGCATCATTGAGTGAACCATGAACCGCTTCTACAGCTCTGAGCATGGCCTGACGTTCATGAATCTGAAGGTTCCTGGGCTGTCCCAAGATTTTTGCCTCGGCCTTCAACTCAATCTCTTTAGCTAAATATTCTTTGGAAGTTTCCCAAGCTGAAACAATCGCTGCAATCTGTGATCTGTTCTCTGGTGAATCTGCTGGCAACGCAAAGTCCTGAAGGCAAGACGTCCTGATGGATGCTCTGTCATCTCCAAGCGCTGAGAATTTCCTCAGCGATCCATAGTGCCTGGCAATCGATACCTGATGCACAAGGGCGACACCAGAGTCACTCAAAATGAACTGAAGATCTGAGTCCAAATTGTTCTGCACAAATTCCCTCTGAGCAAGTGGGTCCATCGCGGCAAGGTCAAACCCTAATGCAAATGAAGTCCACCTACAAACTGTTCAAGTGCAACAAAAATTGACACTGCAGACAAAGAATTTCAAGCACTGAGCTCAAATGACCTGACAGGTGAATGCCGACCCTATGCAACAAGTAATCAATTCAAAAAGAACGGCAAAACCAAGTAGAAACAAACAGAGACACACATGCAAATCCGAATCCTCTGTGATGAATGTCCTGTTGTTTGAATGGCACCCTCAGGTCTGAGCCATTGAGCAACGACAGAACTCTCTGTGATGCTTTGCACAACCGTCTCAACGAGAAGTGCACAAAACACTGAAATGAACAAGCATGTGACTGCATCTGACCCTCTTCTGGAGTCATTGATTTCACATGACATGTGTGCCGCACAAACACTTCCCTTTCCCCCTTTCTCTTTTTACAGGAAGCGACTCAAATCGCTCAGCCCACAGGCACTTCAGCCTCGCTGGCAACAGAAGCTGTGGAGGAGGAAGATGCTGTCGCCGATGAAAGTTCAGCGACTTCTTTGCCGCTCTCTGCAAGCATTCTCTTCTTGCAGGCCTGGCAGATGGCATCGAAGTCATCCTGGTTGACTTCATTCAAATGGATCACCTCGCAACAGCGGTCAGGCCTCACGAAGCAGCCACTCATGTGGAGTCGCCTCAGGCCCACACGCCTTGAGACGGTGACAAAGTACTTTGTCTCGGTTGCCTTCGACATGGACTCCTTCAGGACCTGCGCTGCAACCTTCTCTGCCATGACGTCCTCGGCATCTTCCTGCACATCAGGATCCCAGTCTTCTGGCAAGACCTCCAAAGTGGGATACGTCCCGCCAAGCGATGTCTTTCCCAGCCAGGTCGTGAGGACAGTGTGCCTCTTCTTGATGCGATTCCTGTTGGCCCCAGCTTCTGCAGCAAAATCTGCAAGCTTGTCAATGTTCTCGTCCTCATGAAAGGGTTCGTTGCACCCTTCCACCAGCGCCTTGTTGACGGTGCGCTGGATCTTGAACACCACCTGCCGAGCTGTCCTGACATACTCTTCAGAGGAAACCATTCCCATGCTCCAACGGCCCAAGTAGGCCCTCTCATCCTTGTGAAACCCCAAGGCTGCCGCCACCGAGGTCAAGTAGTTCCTCGGGCTGTGGCCTGAGAAGAAGGCCTCAAGTCCATCCGGCAGGAGATGGATCGCTGTCATGAGCTCCCAACCGGCTCCGGACCTCCGAGGACAGCACAACGACCCCAGAAGTCTCCCAATGGCTGCACTCAGACCAGAAGGGGAGAGAAAGCGACGCTTGACTCCTGTCCAGCTCTTGTTGGGCTCCATGACAAGGTAGTCACGCCTGAAATTCAAAGGGTCTGCCAACCACAACTCAAATCCAGTCCGAAGCCAATCCTCACCTGTGAGTGAGAGTGTCCTGAAAATGTGGACTGACACCTCCTTCTGTATCTTGTCAGGCCCGGTTGTCTTCGACTTCCCAAGCACCAACCTGAGCCCAAAGTTGGAGAGCATGGACCTGTGGGGCAACACCGTTTGCACATCATCGCAACGCATCGCCCCCCAAACCATGCAAAGGACCACCCATGCAAGTGCCCTGACAAATAAAGGCTCCGTCTCACACACCACTGTCAGTTCCAGGGCAAGAAGGATGGCCGTGGTGTACATCTCAGCCGGCTTCCGTGGAGGGGCATCCTCAGAAAGCTCTGCAGTCCAGCTCTTCACATGCCCACGCCACAGAGGGTCATCTGAGATGCGATCACACTCAGGTACCCTGCCAGTCTGCTCAATCAGAGCCAATGCAGTGTGCAATGCTTGCGGTACCGATCTCCCGCAACCGTCATCCACCCTGTGCTGCATGTAGTCGATGAGGTCCTTGACACCTCGTGGGTAAAGATACCCCCTGTGCCACTCCAACCACTGCTCGAAAGGCCGCCAAACTTTGTAGCGATTTTTCAACGTGTTGCCTCTCCGAGCTGCAAAGACATGCAACCAACCAGTCTGTGGATCATCTAAGGTCTTCACCAACTCCACAATGGGCAAACCCGCCTGTATGATGATCTGAGCCAGCAACCGGCAGTATTTCTTCCTCTCTGCATCAAACCTCTTTGCACGTGCGTCTGGTGGATCTTCCTTATACAACTTCTGTTTCCATTTTGTATGCATTTCCAGAATACAAATTGCACTGGTCTGTGTCAAACGTGTGAACTCCTCATGAACCGAAGTACTGCCAGGAAAAGGGAGCCTGAAAAGAACCTGCCGAGCCATTTCAACTCTGTTCCTCTTGAAAGGACGCTCCATGGATTCCTTCCAATTGCACAACTGTGCCACTGCATCCAAAAGGTCTTCCTCGATTAAATCGGGAAATTCTGCAGTGAGCAAACCAAGACACTCCTCATCAGTATCAAAAGCGGCATCCAGTCTAAGGGGAGTCACGTAAACCCTCTGTAAATGAGCTCTGATCCCATCTTCCACTGGAGGCCAAGTGTCACCCATGGCATGCTAACCTGAAACAAAGAAAAGGCGTCCAATCACTTATTGGATGGCAACGCGCCCCAGCTACTTCAAATGAAATCTACCCCTTTTCCAAGCCAGTACTTCACGAAATTCAACAACATTGAAATGATTCCCATTGAATTGATTGACAGCACGGATAAAACTGAGGTGTCGAAATCAGCAAGACATCAACTGAAATCTGAAAGCACTCCAAAAGGATTCAATCACAGCATCTGAATTGTAAGCACAAGAAATCCCACAAGACCAGAAAACAACTTGCAAACTGCGAAGGCTGTCGCAACTCTGGATCAACGTAAAATCAAAAATGAACTTCTCCAAGAAAATGTGCAGCTGTGCCAAACCAAAATAAGTTGAATTGTTTCAAGACTGACATCCACGCAATCCAATGCTCACCAAGAGTGATCCCAAGACAGGAAAATGGCAAGAGCCACCAAACCACCAACGTACCCCACCACCACCCGGCCAACACAGTGTTCCATATAGACACATTGGGCAAGCCCAATGATGCATTCTTCCAATCAAAGAAAATGACATCGACCCCAACCACATTGTTGAACTCCAAGTTTCGAACCAAATGTCCAGGTCGTGGTAGTGAAGGTCGTTGTCGAGCCTCACAGATGGGACATTTGAACTCACTGCGAACCCAAGCAATGACTTCTGGTTTGGCTTGAGCATGTCGTAGAGCTCGCAGGAATGTCCACAAATCTGGATGGCCCAAATTCCTATGCAGTCTGAAAACTTCCCTGCGAAGGTTTGCAGGTATGGTGAGTTTGCCATCTTTTCTGACTTTCTCGATGGCATCTTCCGCAGCTTGTTGAATTTCATCTGATTCTGCCAAAGGGCGTAGCTTGTTTTGCACATTTTCCATCACAGGATCACCTTCATCTGCTTCATGTTCCAAAGTTGGCATGGGTTTTCGACGCAAAGTTGGAACACGGGCACTTCCGCCTCCCAAAATTCTGCTGGATGGAAAAGTGCTGAGTTGAGCTTTGCCCTGCAAAAAACAATGAAAATCTTCTTGAAAATTGCTCTCCTCATTGATGTAGGTGGCCAACGGTTGTGACCAAACCTTCAACTCTTGTTCCACGGCATGAAAAAGTTCCATTGGCAAGTCTGGGCTGGTTGCTTGCTCAACTTGTTGACAAAAAATCACACCGTGGTACTGGAGGTGATGCCGCAGGCCTCGAAGGATGGCCTGAACAAAGGGCCTTGTATATCTTGCAGCATCGGCAGCACGTCCACCCATCAAGGATCTGTGAACATGACCCCCTTGGCATCTCTTGTGCAAGGTGCGAACCAGAGGAAAACAATTGGTGATGAGCATGGTAGGCTTCTTGGCCAAAATGCCATCCCTTGTGACCAGCTTGAAGGCGCAAAGGTCCACCACAAACTCGTACACGGTTTTGCGCTCCTTCAGCTTGCGAGCACGAGGATGCTTCCATGACCATGCTTCCTTTGGATGCTCCAAAAGAAATCCCCTCTGGTTGTCATCCTGCTCCTCCGCAATCTCGAGAGCAAATTCCCAATGTTCAAGACCTTCCTCCTCCTCCAGTTGGACAACTTCTGGATCCCGCTTCGGCGAAGACAAATTCCGAAGGGGGCTGAAAACGGTGCATGGAGGTGAGAGGATCACCAAGGCAGGCTTCCAGGTCTTGATCAGGTTCATCACATGTTTGCGGGTTTTGGCATTCTTGAAGTCATAGCCTGTGGTGAGGTCCAAGGCTTGACCAACCCGCCACTTTGGTTTGATACCCTTTTGGTTCTGCTTTTTGGCCTCCAAAGTCACTCTCGGTGGGCTGTAGATTTCCATCACATCCACATGGGTGCTCACCGACTTCTGCAAAAAGATCTTCACTCCCTTTGGCAATGATAGGGGCTTGCATTGCCACTCCAAGTCTTCGGCAAAAAGGTTGTAGTTGTTGGAGTTGAGTGGAAAGACCATGCAGGTGTGGAGTTCTTTGGATCTCGGCCGAGTCTGCACTGAAAAAGGTTCCCATTCTTCCTTCTCGGAAGTTCTTTGAAACATATGTTGGGGCTGGCCCGACCAGTACGGGCATTGTACAAAGGACTGAATTCCAGGCATATTCCACGAAGCTTCGCACGTGGAAACAAAAGTCATCAGCAAAATGGCTGCCATCTTTGAGGTCGACGCCAATCTGCGTTTCAAGCCACCATCTTGGAGTTGATGGCCATGGATCAGCTTAGAACTGACCCGCAAGTCCTTCACCTTCTCATCCGTCATGGATCCAAGATCTGCTCTCTTTCCAAGGCTGTCACAAAGTTGTATTCGGTGCCCATCACACCGAAGAAAATCTCTTCCCGGGCCTCGGCATTCAGCCGTGCGATCTCCTCCTCGGTGAACTCCATTGGAACGTCCTCGTAAATCGGGTTCTCTGAGTCGCTGGCCAGCTCGAACATCTCTCTGGCACGACCCTCCAAACTTCCATGAGTCACCACCGGAGTCTTTGATCTCTGCATTGGGTTCAGGCCAGTCAGCCTGTCTGAGGTTCGGCCACGGGCTTTCAGGTGATTGGTCAAAGGCAACTGTTCGCCTGCTGACATGGACTGGGCCTCGTTGATCACCGTCACCTTCTGGGTTGGCAAATCTGGTCTGCTTCTTGGCGGTGGTAGGTACGTTGGGTAGTTGGACTCCGTGGTCTGAACCACCTGTGTTGAACTTGAAGAGGTTGTTTCCAATCGTTCCCAACGTCCTCCACATTGAAGGCATGTGTACCAAAAGTGACCTTTGCCAGCTCTGTGACGTAGATACTCCTCCTCGTGAGCACAACTGCTCACCTCCCGATTCCACTTCTTTTGGGCTTGGGACCGGTTGAGAGGTTTGCCAATTGCTTGGCGGATCTTTGAGTCTGGATCCTTCTTTTTGCGGCCCGTCAGGTCCTTCTTTTTCTCCTCCATGTCTTCGATGGCCATCGTGCCACGCTTGCTGATCAGGTACTCCATGACCATCTCTGATCGCGTGGTTGCCATCAAAGTCAGCAACGCTAGGACCACCCGACGCCATCCCAGAAGCTTGTTCTGCTTGGGCTTCTGCTGCGGTTCGGGGTCCTCCATCTGCATCTGCTTCCGAACAGACTGACACAGCGATGCCATTTGACGATGCCCTTCGTGAGCACAACTTGGTTGACAAAACGTCTTTGATGCCCTTGAGCATGGAGAAAGGCTGTGCTGTGGAAGTTTCAACAAACGCTCGCATCAAAAAGGGTGCAAACGAAAAAGACATTGGTGCCACTGCCGATCCAAAATCTTGTTTGTTGAAACTCTGCTGCACGTCTGATGCTTCTGAAATTTGTAAATCATCTGAACGCAAATCATGACATGGGGAGTTGTCATGCAACTCAATCACAACATCATCAAACTGAGCCAAATCAAAATGTTGAGTTTGCCCATTCCACCCAGCAGCTATTGACGGCACCTGCACGTGTGGTGCGCTGGCTGCCGCTGAAGTTGCCACCTGAGCAGAATCACATGGTGAAGACGTCAAAGTAGCTGTTGGGGTGATCACTGCATCAGGGACATCGGGGGCAAACATGGCAAAGTCAAAAATGTTGATGGTGTGCTCCATGCATGAAAAACTGGATGATGATCTCACTGGACATGATGTAGGATGTTCTCCAGAAAGGCTCCTTTTGCCGCCATATTCACGACGAGCGTTGTCAGCCCATCTTGAGCTCGAACTGGATGATGAGGCTGCTGGTGCCTGTGAAACATCGTGAGACATATGTCCAGGAAAGGCCATTCTCGATGATCTGTCCGCCTGAATGGGCGTAGCATTGGAGTCATCGGCTGGTGCTATCAAATGCTGTTTCGAAGCAAACACAACAGCACCATACCAAGGAGCCTGTGTGGCCCTCTTTGCATGTCGATCTTTCCAAAAGTCTCTGATGACTCGGTGTCGCCCTTCCGAAAAGATATGGGTCAATCTTTCCGGCTCCAAAGTTTCTGGATCTTGAAGTCCAGGGCAGTCTGATGGCACCACCATGCGGTTCTGGACCGGCAACTCCATCAAGAGGTTCATCTTGTCATCCACCAAGAGGTAGACCAAGACCTTGTTCTGGTCCGGCTGCTGCAAAACTGCTGCAAACATCTGAGGCTGCGGTGGCAAAACAAATGGATCCACATCTGGGTCTCTTCGAAGGTTTCGGGGTAGATCCCATCCATCTGTAGAAAAATTCATGATGTCCACCGCTCTATGTTTTGTAGGCAGCTTTCTCATGGGGGTTGCAGAACCATCTTGAAGGATCAGTTGATCATTTTGACAGTCAATGGTGGCTCCAACACTTTCAAGCCAGGCAATTGGAAGCAAAGGTGGTGTCCTATGATTGGGTCCATCTTGAAGAACTGTGAAAGGCAAAACGCCATTGGTGCCAGCAACACCAAGAGGCACGTTCACCACGCCTTTCACAACTGCTGCACCACCAATTCCACCAGCACCTGGAAGAGGTTCTTGCTGAGGTTGCCAAACTGGTCGAAGGCCTCGACGGTTGAGCTCTCGCTCCAGCTCAGCAAAAGCAACATCTCCTATGACGCCCTCTTCGGCTGCTGTGTCAACCAATGCCTCATGGCCACGACATTGCACTGTATGAAAAATCATCAACCTGTAAATTGGGTTGTCCGCTCCATCTGATGGTCTGCCAACAGAATGCATGAAAACTTGAGGGCCCGTGGCAGTCACCAAAAACTGTTTCCTTGGTGAGGAGGTCCCAGTTGAAGACCGAGGTTTGGGGTCTTGCTTGAAGGGGCAATCTTTGGAAATATGCCCAAGCTCATCACAGTTAAAACAACGCGTGCGGCTCATCAAATCATCCCCGTAGGACTTCAACACCTTGGAACCTTTGGAAAACTTTGATTTCCCTTTGCCAAAACCTTTGGAAACTTTGTGACTGCGTTTCCCACGGCCTTTTCCAGAATCATTGGAGCGCTTCACATAGCCACGCTCATTCCTTCTTTTCTGCATCTCCTTTCTCACATCTCTGTAGGCGCTATGGTACGCCAGGATTTCCATGCTCTCATTTTCAGTGTAAGTCTTGTCCTCAAAGTAGACAAATGGGTTTCCATCCTCATCCTGTGATGAGGAGCCAGTTGAATCGTCCTCGTCATTCTCAAGGTGCTCGTGCTCCTCAACCTCGCCAGCATCATCTCCAAAAGTTGCAAAGTTACAAGTTGCTGCATTGGATCCTTGAGCTTTTGCAAGCATCTCCGGACGATCCAATGTTCGCAGCATTGAAGCAACTTCGTCAAACGTTCGAAGAACTGGTCCACGTAGCATGAGCATCTCCCGTTGAAAATCACTCAAACCAGCTTGTCTCAAAAGGATGCGACCACACAGTCTGTCTGAAATTGTTTCTCCCATTTGAGTTTCCATCTCCTGTCTAGCCAACTGCTTGGAGGCAATGAAAGCTGTAAAACTTTCAGACTTCTGTCGTTCACCTTCAAACAGAAACCTGTCAATTGCCTTTGGCGCAGAAGCTTCAAGGTATGGAAAGTACTTGTCATATATTGCACTCAAAACTGCACTGTAACCCTGAGGAGACAAAAGGGTCTGCATCGGCACAGTGTCAGCGATGCGCCGAGGTTCAGAACCTTCTGCAAAGCTCTGAAGCAATTTGACTCCTCTACGTTCCAGCGGCATCTGAGATTCATGCTCCCACAAAGCCAGCAACTTCAACCACGAGCGAAGGGTGCTCGGGTGACCATTCCAAACTGGTATGGAACGCTTTTCACCTGTAATGGCTTGATGCAAAGCTTGGGAAAGAATCTGATTGGAGTGCGCAGGGTTTGAAGGCATACTTGGGCTCATTGGGTCAAAACCTTGCTGCTGCATATGGCCTTGTGGCCTTGCATTACCCAGTAAGTCAAATGCCGAGCTCTTCATAGATCCCGAAGTTGATGCTTGGCCTGTCCCTTGGCCTAAGGCAGAAGAAAAGGCTGCAGCACCAAAACCAGGATTGGCCTGGCTAGGACCTACAGTTCTGTAAACCGTCCCGCCAGTTGCTGCTGTAATCGGCATTGAGAAACCAGGATGAAACATCTGATGCTGTGACTGTGATCCATTCGGATGCTGTAGCATAGGTTGAAACTGAGGTACAGCCCTCGTAGATGCATCTGCAAAACCTTGAACACCAGCATTCGAAGGGTTAGGTCCAGCACGTCCTTGTAGCTCGTTGTATCGAGCCCAAGGGTCATCCACAGGGTTGTAGTTGCTAGGTCCACTCATTGCAACAAGGCTCCGCTACCACTGATACGGTGAGATGTTTAAAGAAACGCCATGCCAAGCACGGAATGAACAAATCCACTAGCGCAAGTGCAAGCGCTTTTTCTATGGGTCCTTGCGCAGCTCAGTAGACTCAAGGCCTAATGCCCATGGAGCCAAAGCATCGGATAGGAATGCATAGGCATCAGTCAAGTATGTCTCAAATGTTATGTGAGATGTCACAACAAAGAAACGACACATGCGTACAATTCAACAAGGCCAATCACATGAGTCTTCCCACATTTCTGCCAGATTTCCAAGATACGGTCAGGAACCGCAGCACCAAAAATCTCACAAGATCCGTCGGGCCTCAAGCAAACGCCACCGATCGTAGCCTTTGGCTCACCATTATCAGAGTCCAATGCTCCATCCGTAAAGATCAAAACTGGTCGTTGATGTCATCTGCCACGAAAGTTTTTGGTCGGCCCGAGCACAACCGATCCTTCAAAACCCCCAAGGCCCTGACCTGGGATTCATCGAGAGGCACTTTCAAGGGAGAATTGTGGCCCCACTCCCGCAGGTCCGCCAGAGCTAGGCGCCCCGCTCTGCCGCAGACATGCGAATCACTGCAGGGAGCTTCTCTTCAGCACAAAACTAAAAAGCGACATCAATCCCTTTGCACAAGCAAGAGTAGAGCCAACATGCAAGCCGTGAGAAAGCATTGGAAAATCGTCGAAGTAACTCATCAACACGATACCAAGGTAACATCCAGCTGCTTGGAGGAAGGTGCTGACGTGCAAAAAGTTGTGCATACTCGCAGAGGCCCAAACGGTAGGACGTGGCACTCGAAGCACCGTACGTCTTTGTCCTCAGGGCTCCACAAAGAAACAACGGACTTGTCGAAGTCCAGAGGGCTCAAAGGGAGCTGCTTGTAGGCAGACTTTCAAATCCATTGCCGTGATTTTCAGGTCTGTTGCATTGGCCATCCACTCAGAATGTACATAGCCTTCAAGTACTGTGCTATCAGACAGTGTGAAGGAAAAGGATCCACCAGACTTGTATACCTCATCAAGAAGATGGAAGCCCCAAATGATCCAAAGCATACAAAGTCGCCCTCTCGGTACTCGAGAAAGTCATTGACCCGGTTGTGAAAAACGTAAACCCAAGTACACCTCTTGTGTACCCAAATCGACGCTTTCATAAAATCACTACGCCAGACGCAAACACCTACTGTGGTTGCGACTCCGCAGTTACTTACTTCTCTGCAATGTCAAATAAAGGAACTTGTTCCACCCCGACTCCTAAGTGCACGTCAGACTCCTTCTTTTCTCTCCAGACGCCACACAACAGGACAGGTCAACAAGAACCAGGGCAGGCACACAGCCACAGCCCACAAACAAAGAAAGGAAGCAAGCTGTTCCAGTGTGGCTACTGTTTCAAGTGCCCTAGGTGACACTGCAGTTCAGTTCTCTTCGGAACACTCGACACCACTCCCTTGAGCCGATGTCTCAACTGGAAAACGCGATTCCAGGTTTCCAATACACAACCTTCCCTCAAAGGTTGTTGAAACAATTCCAAACTGCTATGATATACAAATCACCTAGTTACAAAAACGTCAGAAACATTTCCAAAAGTTCTCAAATCAAACTGGTTCTCATTCAAACGCAAGTAACCAGCTAGCCGGTGTTACTAGTCTCTACCAAACGTCTAGACTAGTCACACGGCTGGTTAAGAACGAAATGTTCCAGTCAAATTCCTATACAAAATCCTCTCGCAATACAGAGCAACATAGGAACCTCATGTTCCATCTCCAAAACAGCCTTTCACATAGAGATGTGTTCTCATAGTTCCAAACTACCAAGGAGAATAGAATACTCTGTTCGACTTCCTAGCCAATATCCAGTCGTAAACAGTCATAGCGCTAACATAGTTCGCTTACTGTCACAACCAAAAGTCAGCAGCAAGTCAGAGGCATAAAGATCATAATGCAACTCTCCAGATCAAGTATCTGGAGGCTGAATAAGATACGTAGGCATTGTCCTCACAATGTCGAAGTATCTCCCATACTCAAAAGATCTGCTTGACTTCTCAGCTAGTGTCCAGTCTCCAGCAGTCATAGCGCTAAAGTAGTTCGCTCACTGCAATAACCAAACGTCAGCCAATAGTCACAGCTACCAAGGTTACAAAATAGACTTCCAGATCAAATACCCAGAGGTCACAGAAGATACGTAGGCATTGTCCTCACAATGCCGGAGTATCCCACGTACTCACAAGGAGTAATCAAATAGGCTTCACCAACATCTCAGATGTACGAAGCAATGACAAGAATCGAAACTAATGATCCAAAATCATCTCAGCTAGATCCATACTCCTCCAGGAGGTCAAAGAACTTCAGAGATCGATGGAATCATAGCATCCCGACTCAACTGTATAGCGAATGCTTCTGAAAGCATTCGTCCACTGTCATAAAGCAAAATAACACTTCAAACTGTATTCAAAGGAGAAGCAAGCTCCAAGTAGATCCACTTAGACTCAATGGTCGATATCTCAAATCAGCTTATGCAGCTCCTCATAACACAAAGTAATATTGAATCTACTTATGTCTGATGCAGACACCTTCCCATAGTCCAGTTTCACCACTGAAGGCTCAATGAAAGTCAGGTCGCTCCAATGCCAAGTTGCACCCACAAGGGTACAAACTTCCACACCCCCTTTCGACATGACATTCATTTCTCTCTCTATACATACTCAGATGCATATCCAGTATGAACTTCGCCATACCTTCAAAGTCAAACTCATAGAATACGTCGTATTCGCCAGGAGTCTTCAATGCTCCAAGCACGGTTGTTCCTCCAACACTTCGCTCATCTTTAATAAACCGTCCATCCATATCCACAACCATCGCCAACGCTGATGTCAGCAATACTCCATAGACTTCTCCATGGGCACAGCTCTCATCTATCCTCAACCAGTCAACATCACCAGTTCAGAATCCATCGACTGACCAAAGAGACCATGGCGTCAGTTCGCGATCAACTACAGTGCTGTTTGTTGGTCCCTAAAACAAACGAGAACAAAGCACAACACCAACAACACACACGAGATCCAAGACGGAGACAGACGAAGCACTGTCGGAGTCAACACAAAACCAAGGCCGACTGTTTCAGCTAATCCGCATCCTCCAATGGAAGATAAACGCGTCAGACAAGCAAAACTGTCATCAGCCTCAACTACTCACAGTCCAAAAACATATTCGTGGTATCAAAGTTTTGAACACGAATACATTGATGCACCAGGCAAACTCGGTCTCAGACAAGCTATAAACTAGATACACTAAGCTTGGAACACCTTAGATACCAAGCGTTCTAAGTTTCGGGCACGCTAGGCATGAGATGCACTAAGCTCAGGGCAAACTTCCAAGGCTGGACCTTGTCCCCCTTTTGAGATAAAGTCCATCAACCTTCAAAAACCTCAAATGAATTCTGGCCATCATAAAAGTTGATCTATTGCATGTTCAAACAAAGAAAACAACTACCTAAGCAACTTCACAATCACTGCCTACGAACATGTTCACAACGCCAGGGAAATCCATTCCACTGACATCAAGATGCGCAAACCTATCAAAAGCAATTTCAACAACACTGACATGTATCTCAATTCAGGGATGTCCAATCCACTGATATCACAATCAAATCAGTCACAAGACGCTCAAAATCAAAAACAAAACCTTCCAAGGGTTTCCATCAGACGTTTGGCCTGGACCTACTTTGATTCTCCTCAATTAAGAATCAGGTCTGGCCTTGTCATCATTTGAAAAACGGCGGCAGATAAACACAAACCACACTCAACAATGAATCAATCACAATGCACAAGTTCACAACAAATTCACAAACATGCTCAAGTTCACAAACATGTCCAAATTCACAAGCAAGTTCACAAACATGTCCAAATTCACAAGCAAGTTCACAAACATGTCCAAATTCACAAGCATGTCCAAGTTCAACGCAAACATGACACCTTTCTAATCCAGAGCTGATTCATCCCAAGCAATATCAAACCTTGCAGGCTCACCCCCTTTTGCAGTGCAGGAGGTCTGAATCACAGACACAGTCATAGCAATGGTGCACCAGAGTGAACCTCGAGCTAGAGCTAGCCGATACTAGCCATTCTCTCTGGTGCAAAGAAAACTGCTAATCCTTCACAAAAAAATATTCAGGCCTCTCTCAGATATCATCCCAGGGCGGCACCAGCATCTCTATTGATACACCCGACGACACTGTTGTTGCCCATCGCGCAACATGGCCAGGCCGCCTGGTGCCCAAAGCGATATGAGGGCATTCACTTGGGCGCCCTTGTATGGCGTAGGGGATAACGTGCGGACTTCACCGCTGGTTGCATCTTTCGACATGATAGCCCCTTGCCGTTGGCCTGGCGTAGTCAGCCCAGGATGCAAAGACATGGCCGGCCTCTGCTCCCCAGGGTTGATAGGGCAGAAGCCCACAAACAGGGACTCAGGCAGTGCAGGCGGTGTCATCAGTCCTGCTGGGATAGTCACTGATGGCGCTGCAGGAGGCGCCACCTGTGGTGGCGGCACATTAGTCGGCAGTCCACATGCCGAGGCTCCTGGGGCTCCATGCGCTGGCACTCCGCCTGCAGAGGATCCATGTCCAGACGCCCCCTTCGGGGCATGTCCATGCACGGACGATGGAACCGTGTTCCCAGTCATTCCAGCCATACCAGGTGTGGCAGGAGTTCCCACCTGTCCAACTCCGCTTGGATCATTCTGAAGCGGGAAGGATGGGTAACCTTCCATCCTTTCAGGCATCGGCATCCCTGGGGCCTTCGAAGGATCTGGTTCACCCTTTTCTCCGATCACCCGGATGAGATCTCGAAGGAGGCCAGTCACCTCTCCAAGGCCTACCTTGATAGCCTGTTCTATTTTCTCCCCTCGATTTCCCACTTCTTCTTTCACAGAACCAATGTTATCTTCAAGGGTATTGTTGCCTTTCAGCGACCATTTGGCT